CAAAGCATTCTGCAATCCAGTATGTAATCAGTCATATCCTAATTCTGATTTTATAGCTTTATCTTGTGCAGTAGGGATTTTTCATGTCAGTTAGGCTACCCCATGTGACAGGCAAAGATCAAACTTGTCCCTCTGTTTAGAAAAAAATCTACCATCTCCCTTCAAATCTCATAAACGCAGTAATCGTCCAGATAAAAGCTCCAACTAAGAACAGTTAAGGCTGGAGAAAGCCTAATTCCAGTAATAACCTGGCATCAAAGCACTCTCCTACTACATAGAGCTCATTTTTTCCAAGGAAGGAAAGAAGGGAGGGAAAAAAAGTTTACCCTGGTAGAAAACTTAATGCAGAAAGTCTTGGACTATGTGTCTTGACCAGCAAACACAGCAGAGCCTCCATTAAGCGAGTTTGCTCGACGTTACACCCTGCTGAAGTATCTATCTTATGTATAGTTTTGTGAACCCTAGGCGGCCTCAGTTCAAAGTTGCACAACCTACAAGGATTATCCCTTATTCCAAAGGAACCGCTTTGCACACTGCTGTTACAAACGGGAAAGTAAAAGAAACTTTAGAAACTGTATTGTCCTCACATCTACTCTCCTTCATGAACAGGATATGCAAACCATTTCTCCATAGACAAAGATTATATCAGATGGCAAAAATATATGCAAAAAATCCACAGTGCCCAAACTTCTTCAATAGGCAGCAGAGTTGAACTTTTACAAAGGTACTTCAATCACTACATGTTCACTCAGCAGCTCCTTTCATAAACTGAGTACAGTCTCATCTCAGAACTGCACAGGTCTCAGTTCTATCAGAATAGCCAGCCCTCAGAAAACAGACATTTTCCCATTCAGTTAGAATATAAAAGTAAGACCTAAAAAAAAGCCTCTCTGAACTATTCCCACTGACACCAGCAGTCAAAAGGCAGCTCAAGCAGATTGTGAGGTCACTAGAGAATTCTCTCCCCATGACAACATTCAGCTTTATTTTAAGATAGCTAGCAATGCTTTCAGAAGCAGAAAATGCTTATGGAGCCAAGACTGCAAAGACAATATAGGACGGAAGGAAAAACAAACAAACCAACCAACTGCACCTAACTATTATACACACAGCTTACAGTGAAATTTGACCAGGACACTATACAAAGGACCTATCCTTTGTGATGAGATCTCAGATAAGTTTCTCAATATTTTCCCTTCAATTATTTAAAGGGTAAGCTACTGCTAGACTGAAGGATTCCAGAAGTGTAATAAGCGTCAGGTATTAGCGACTGCAGATGAGAACACCCCCTTCAAATATTATGAGAACACAACATATCTTTGTGGAGAAGGAAGTACCTTAGATTGGTGCTAAACAGAACCTGGAGAGTGACCAAAAAAATAGTATCAGCTCTCTAGGCCTATAACTCTATTTATGCCGTCATTTTCTCTCTACAATAACCTTACAATTATTTCACTTTTTATTCTCCTGCACACGCACAACACCCTTAATTTGAGTAAAAAGGGTTTGAGCAGACATCTAGAGATGCTATTGCAAAGACTATAGCGAATGTGAAGTTGCATGGCTATTGCTCTACTACACTTTTTTGTAGATATTTGTCTGTATGTCACCTGCCCTCTAGACAATGATCCCCAAAGTATATCTTGTGAAGACACAAATATAATTTACTAACCCATAAGAAAGCATTCTACACGTTCATGTTAAATGCACATTTTGCCAATTCCATTTTTGAAATTAAAAAGTTGAAACACCCAGGATAGCCAATGTATTTGAACTCCAGAAATAAAAATATTTGAATATATTTTTTAGAGATTAAAATACTTAGCTTAGAAAAGAATGAGGAAACTTAAAATTCTGATTATAAGTTAACTTGATTTTCAATTGAAAGGGAGCTGTTGCTTTTTAAGTAACTGTAATAAGTGAAAAAGTAGTGAAGGAATACAAGGAGTAGGTGAAAGGGGTCTTTGGCAAACTACTACATAACCAAGGGATATCATTCTTCCAGCCACTACATATGACATTGTAAGGCTCTTAAGATGCATCTCCTCATTATCCCTCTACTTCTTGCGCAACTCTTGCAAAGCAGTTTGTGCCCCATTATCAATGGCAGCATAAAACTTCAGTTTGAAATGGGAAAGAAACTAGTTAAACAAGCCTTTAGATCAAATGATTTATTTGTTTTCACCTCTTGTTCTCTTGCATAATCCTCTTGGTCATACTCTTCCTCTTCATGTTGAGTTTGTAGAGCTCCACTATCAAAGTCAAGGGACATTGTTTTCTAATGATAATGCTTTTGAGTATCCAAAAAAAAAAATCTATCACAAGGCAAGAAAACATCACATGAGTAAGAACAAAAACACCATACAGTTGTAAAACAAACAACCAAAAAAAAAAAAAACACACTTACTTCCCAAATCAAGTAGCCAAACAACTTTTTGAGATAAAAATTGCCTATTATTTGTATCATTTATTTGAGCTTCTATGTTTCTCAGCATTAGTAATACTTCTCATTTCTAAGAACTTAACATTTAAAAGAGATTATCTAAGCTTTCTATAAAGTGACATTAGGAAATTATTAAAGTTCACTTATGAAAATAGACATCACTTTCTTCAAGCACTAATACAGGATACATTCATTCAATATAGATTGACAAATATGTCTGCTATTAAATGTTGCTTCATTGCCTTCTATATACTACAGTAAAATGACTAAGTCTTGTACTAACTACTGGAAGTACATTGTTGCTTGAACATTTGGATAATAGCTTCAATAATGGAAAAGTATCCAGTCAGTTGAAGATTTAAATAACTGCTTAATGAAAAGAAACTCAGATACCCAAGGACTCGCCTACACTGAACAGTTAGTTCACAGTAAGCTAGAGTTCATAATCGCTGACCTACATTTGATTACAAGGCAAGTCGTTCCCTGCTGAAGAGGCTCCTCACATACAGCTATGAGCCAAAATTACTGAAGGTTTTACAGACTTTCACATTCTTTGATCAAATAGGTGTAGCATATGCTGAAATCTTTACTCAGTTATTACAGTAAGCTTTACAAGGGCATGATTCTAAAGCTAATTGAAAAAAGAAAAACACCATGTTTCTTTTACTTCCATAATACTTATGTATTAAGGACATGCTTGCCTACTTATATTCAAGAAAAGTCTATAACAGAGTTAGCAAAAGCCCTAACAGGACAACCTGTCTCTTGGCTCCCCCGGGAAGACCGGGTTTCCCCATGAGAGCGCCTGCCGCATCTTTCACAGCGCGGCGCACGAGCTCAGCCACCTTACCGCGCGGCCTGCCTCAGCCGGGGCACG